ACTTAGAATGAAAAAGTAAATCGTGCTAAAAAAGTAAGTATTTTACTTAACCTTTTGTGCTGCTTGAGCGAGTCTTTCCAGCTCATTCGGCTTGGGATGTTTGGGTGGTGGAGCATGGATCAACTTTTCAATCGCAGCCACTACTGCTGGAGTGTATTCTCGAGTAATCTAATGAAAGATAATTAATTGATCATCTGAAATCAGTAAAGGAACTTTAAAGTTACTAACTGAAAAAGTAATTTTTCACTAACCTTAATAAAACTGACAGCTTTCTCAAATTCTTCAGAATATGCTGATGTTTTTTTAATTTCTGTTAATGTTTTAGGCATTTCCTTGTCTCTCTACAACTGCAGTAAATTGTTACAAATTTAATTGCACAAATAGCTAAGCAGAAATTTGCCGTACACAACTGATTCACGATTAGATTCAACTGATTACAGCCGTATCTAAAAGAAGACTTCACGAAATAATAGAAAATATACTTTATCTATATACAAATGTAATGAACAAACGTTAAAATTTGTTTATTCAGTTAAAGTGTGCTAATCTGCCACTTTCCTTACGATTACACGTTATAAATCTTACGTAAATTAAAATCACTTTTGAATTGTTTTTGAACACACGAAAACACTGATATGTATCTTGCATGCTTGATCTCATTTATAATCAATCAGCGTTTATCATACCAATCAAAAAGATTTTTTTAAATAAACAAATAAAAGTGTGATATCTCACCTATGACCTTCTCACATTGTGTGAAAGAATTTGTTAAAAAATTGATGGAGAAAATTTTTATACATTTTACATATTCATTGCTATTTCAGTGATTCTTATGAGCAATCTAGCAAGCACAAGATTTTCATTCCTTTAAGGTAAGAATTTATCTTATTTATTCCCATTTGTAACTGATAACTTCTGATTCATCTGTGATTATTCAAATACATTTTTCTGAATAAAATAAAATTTTTACTTTCAGAGAATACGAAATTTGTCTTTCTCCAGTATATATATTTTCGAGCCTTCACTCTAAGTGAGATACAAAATCTTATGCAAAAACCTAAAACAAAGAACTTTGCGCCAAAATTAATCAGAAATACTCGCATATTTTAATTTACTAAATATCTGATTCCTGTTTTAATTAATGATTCAGAATCTGCTTTTTTGTTTTTTTGTTTTTGCTTGAAACGATGATACAGCCAACTAGTAGATCAAATGTGTGCAATTTATGATCTTAAAAATCATTAACAATAGAATGGCAACTTGAAAACAAGAATCAACATGTACAAAAATCATCATAATTCTCATCAATATTATCATAATTACTTCTAATTTGAAATGAATAACTCAAAGAATCATATATTCCTCTTTAAAAAACATGGACAACGCAGAAAAAGTTTGATTCCTGACGATTCATTAGCAATTACGTTGAACTCTCCAAAGGATAACATCTTATCATTGTCATTCGCTGTACTATCTTTAGTCATTTTAGCAGATGATAGAGTTTCGAGAGTTGTTGCAGTTTCCATATTATGACTACCTGAAAAATGAATCTAACTGATAAAAAAGTATACAAAATATTATTAAAATATTTGTTAATGCTAAATACAAATACACAAAGTACTCATTCATTTGCATAAGTGATGTTACCATTTTGTGTTTGCAAAACATACTAATTGTGTTTCTATCTAAATCGGAATTAGATAGAATTGATGAGATGTGTTCTTCGTTTTCCTTAGATAATGTATTATTATCAATGCCATTTTTGGCATCCAAAATTAGCTGTGAAAATTGTTCAAGTACATAAGCGTAGAATTTGTTATTCTTGGGAAAGTTAAATTTTATTTTATCAATGATAAAGCAGTATGCTGCGATTGCTTCATCATAGTGCAATTTTGGGCATGAATGCTGCAAAGATGCGCGGGATCCTGAAATTAACACATTACAATATTGTTAAATTTGATCTTAAAAAGTGTACACAGATATGTTATGTTTAATGCAAATTAAATATTCAAACTTTTTTAAAATTGTTTGAATAATATTATAATTTTTGTATGCATAAATTTGCTGCACAAAATTCTTTAAATTATTTCCAAAATTCAAATTTTTGACAAAAAATATTGTAAAATAAGTTTTAAATATATTAGTGCAAAAAAGCATCTTATAGAATCTTTTGATAAAAAAGTTAGCTAATACTTTTTTGCAAGAATATATTTAGCTAAAAAGTTGGCATTATTTTTTGTATATTAAAACAATTTGAAAATAACTTAGTAAGGCTTACTTAAGTGTCCGTATTGTGCCAGAAACCAATGGCAATTACCAACCATTAATTGATGCAAAATTTGAGCGCATTTATCTTGTAGTATTTGCATACAAATTAACTCATTCAACCAATAACAACACAAATCCACGCAATCACTTTGTATTCTATGCAAATTTTCTTTTGCAGTATTGTGATCAATAAGTGTTTTTGCTTGATCTATTAAGTTTCTTTGGCGAGTAATTTCCAGTTGTTTTTTCTGTAACTTAATTAATAATTAAGCAATTTTTAAATTAAAAATAGAAGATAATTAAGTTATTTTTAGATTATCGTCAATAAAAATATTTGCTTTTTTCTGAGATAAAAAAGAAAAACTCTTAATCCTAATATTTCTATCAAGAAATCAAAAAATTAAATTTAAAAGAATAGATTAAAAAAATTTAATTTAGTTTTTTCTATTGTTAATTCAAATTATATTTGCATTTTCATACTCAACATATCAAAAACATTAAACGAATTCTGAAATACAACCATAAGAAACAAAATAACCACAAATTATTACAAATAAACTTTTTATTTGAAACTTATCATTTCAAATTAATAATCATTGCAAAGGCGATACTTTATGCTGCATTTACCTCAATAAGTTTACTGTAGAAGCAATTCAAAAACCGCAATTTGCAAATATTTACATCAGAATCATCTTCAATCACTTCTTTGAGAGTTTCAACAGATAGCGACAAATCACAATGTTGCATTCTACTTAAAATTACTTGAATCTCTTAAAACAAACAAAAATATCTCTTGGATTTCAGAAAAGACAAAAACAATTACTCAACCACCATAAATCTAATATAACAGAATCCACCCTTCAGTGCATCTAATTTCTAATTTGCAACTGCTTAGCAAAGTATTTCTATACACTTCCATAAACTTAAACTCATATTTTGTTCTCCACTACATTTAAAGTAATTTATCAAACTTCTAAGCAATATTCTATAATTCTATTTTGTTTATAAAAAGGAACCCTTGCTTTATTACTTGAGTGTAGTGAATATTTCAGGCTAAAGAATAAGCAGAAGTCTTAGACATCGGCTAACCACTTCACTTTTCACGCTTAAGTATTCGTCCGTTTCGATATGAATTACACTTACTAATAATGACAACTTTGCTTTCATGCATCATCATTATTCAATAAGAAATGAAATAGCTTAAAACTCAAGGAAAAGTTAAATTGCACTGATGAAGTATTACACTGCAACTGAAAAAAAAACACGGCTTCTGCTGCTGAACCAATGACTGTATGATAAAAATCATTAAATGCCAGGAAATTGTGTTGACATAAACTCTGTCAAAGTTTGTTGTCATCGAAGCTTGTAGGCAGCATTGCATGAATGTCTAATTGACCACACTTGTTGACCTTTAGATCCAGGGCCTTTACATGTAAACTCGTCCGAGTTAGAACGATCTATTTGCAGTGGCTTTGAATGAAATGAAAGTTATCATCACCGTCATCTTTACTAAAAACACATTCAGCACTCAAAAGCAGAATACTTCGTATTTCCTTTGATAAAATCTCACAAGGAAAAAAGCAGGGAATACTCTCTCCACAGAAACCCCTACACCGTTAGCAGTTACGACTGCTGATATACTCTTTGTTGAATAAAACACTCTAATCATTGGTAAGTCAAGCTATTTATCTATTAAATTTGTAAAGAGAGACATCTTGCATTAGAGGAAACAGTACAAATTTAGACATCATCCAAACCACAACCAATTTGTTGTGATTCAGTCTTCCCAAATAATCAAACAACTCGCTTGGTTACTATGCATAAATACAATTTATTGCTGTCTTATTTCCAAAATGACAAAAAAAGTAATCAAATACACCTACTACGAACAGAAAACAATTCAAACATTGGCACGATATGTTTTTACAGGTAAATTAACAAAACAAATTATTGTAAATAAATACGAATTTCTAACAATAATTTGCAGACTTCCTTCCATATATTTACCTCTAGTCTGACTAATACACCACTTGAGATCATGATCAGCTGAAATCAATGGTATCTTACTTCAAAATTTTAAGTGGTAAAATCTTTTATAATCCGGATCTAAATAAGGACAAGAGTGATAATGTTCGCGAAAAATGGACGGATAATCATTTTATACAAAACAAACTGCGACGACCATACTGAAAATATAAAAATTAGTGTATCTGGTACACAGAAATCCAAAAATACAGTAAAAAATTAAAATAAGCTCGTCTGAGACTCGTCTCAAAATCATTGCGGAATTCATGCATAAAACTAAAACAAAAACGAAGTTAACTTAAGCCAATGACAAACTTCTTGATATCGGAAAAAGCACTAAAACATTTTAAGACGCACTAGCAAGCAAAAGAGGATAACGTGTTAAGCAATAAAGTAGAAACATGACGAAATAATTTACATAATAACAGAAAAAAATAAAAATATAGCAAGATGAGCAAAAAACTGATCTTCATCTAAAAGAGGACCAACATCATATAGCAGTTAGAATATACTTCGAAATAATGATGACCATCAAGTCAACATTTAAAGAAGCTCTGCCAGTTCCGAAATGCATACATAAAGTCTTTAAAATGACCGGTTAAATATTACTTTTTACAAAAGTAATGAAGATGGAGGTGCATTAGCTTAATTCTTTTAAAATAAAAGATACAATAAATCAACTGGGAGCTTTCAACTTACAAAACTGCTAACTCTTTCTTAAAAAATAATCCAATCAAAATTTCATTGAAACTCCCCAAGCAACGATACTTTATATCTAACTAGATCATAAGATAAAAGTGCTTTATGAATACATAATAACGACTTCCGCAAAATTCCACCACAATACAATACAATACAATACTTATAGACAAAAATAAATAATCCTATGAATGACAAAACAATGAAATATGGCAAATAACATTAAAAGTTGTTCCCTTATTAGCATATGTTAAGGAGTGTATAACCAGAATGCAGCAACACAAACTCGAACAATTTTTATCTTGATATTGAAATATAGCGTATTTTCAACTTCTTCCTACTCTGGCTGTGATCTATTTATGTATTTGAAAAAATGAAGTTTTCTTGCTAGTCTTTCCTTGTAGTATATGAATAAATGCAAAATAAGCCTGATATTTTGATGCCAGCTTTAAAATAACTAAATCCAACATTAAGCGGTTGAAAAAGATTGATTACCATATTGTTGCTTCACTACTGCCTGTTGATGAAGCAAATGGTACTGATCCAAATAATGTTGTGGTGATGCCAAGGTACTTTTTTCGCCTGTAAATCAAAAGTTGATCGTAATCATCGTACTTTGAATACAAAGTTTAAGGTAGTAATGAGAATTAAATATGACTAAAACAAAAATACTTCCAACCATTTGATGTACTTCACTTCTTTCAACACATGGACTCATATTTCATCTTTTTTCTCAGCAGCTCATGACAAAAAGTTAATTAACAAAAAGTTATACGCACTTTTTCATCAGAATCAACCATGAAAAAAAAAAAAACATAAAAATCCTGCTCTGTTTCAAGCCCTACATCACATACACTTATCAATGTATAAAATCTATTTTCCTCGAATATTTGTTCCACCATTATTAAAATTGAACATACCTGGTTCAGGAAAAGCCGGTTCACAGAGAGATGTATAATACAAATCTAGCATTTGTTGCATAGTAACCGATGGATTCGCATTACTATTGGTCTGTTGTACAAGCGGTGATAATTGATTACGCTAAAAACAAAACATGATTTTTAATGTGTTTGGCTAGAAAATACATGATAAGTTTACATCTGACAGAATAAACATAGTTTCACATATATGACTGTAAAAAAACATTTACTTTCCTGAATTTGTGCGCCACAATATGAAGTTAATTCAGTGTCATCTTAATTAAATAAGAACTTTTTTGCTTAATATTTACCGAAGACGTATGCTGTGGCGTCCGTGCGTTCACCGCCTGAGTCAATATGACCGTCCCAGAAGGAGGTGTCGCTAGTGCTGAAGCAAAAAAATGAGTTAGAAGAATGTTCAAAAATAAATAAATAACAAACAAGCACCAAATGTTCCTTGAAAATACTAACACTTGTAGGAAACTTACTTCGAGAGGGAACCTGTGCACACAGCAAATTACCATTAATGCAACTACCACCACTTAATTTGTCTGAAACATGCAATAATTTGATAGAATGAAAAGCAAGTACAAGCTATCTACAAAAAAGTAATATGGCAAACTCAAGACAACTTAATTTCTATGGCACTCATCTACATGAACTTTTTCATTAGAAAATATACACCTAGTAAAGTCACATTCTTTTTAAAATCATAACAGGAAAACGAGATTCAGCAGAATGATTAAGACGACTAATCAGTTGATAAAGAAAATAAAGATAACTCACTATTTTTGACTGCCGATAAAGCAGAAGGTGTGGCACGTCCATTACTGATGGGTGTGGCCGGTGATACATCAGAAGAGCCATTTGATAAATCCGATTTCATTGAGGGTTTGGGTGCTTTTTTTCGTTGGGGATGATAAACCAAGTTTGGATTGTCTCTCAATGCCTGCAATGACTCAGATAGAGAAGTTGGAAAATGAAAAATGTCACACATAGTATTGATTGGAAGAAAAGTAAAATACATTACATTGTGCTGCGATCATGAAAACGAAAGTAGAGAGCTTAACTACCAAAATATGTGCAACAGAAATAAGTTAGCATAGATTAAGATTACAACAAAGTCCGATTCCGAACACACTTATGCCACATTTCTAGTTAGTTATCAAAACAAATGCTAATATGTACTGTGTTTTAACTGCTGATGAGCAATTTACCATATTACAGCAGAATATAGGAACAGCAATAGTCATGTGAGATGACTATTGCTACTAATATATACTCACAATTAATGGTAATGATCGTTCGCTGCTCGCAGCAGAAAACAAGCAACGACAGCTCACAATGAGAGCTCTTCTCAAGGCAAACAATAGTGCAGGCATAAAACACATTTACAAATGTGATAAAAGATATTTACACACAGCTAAAAAGCACGAAATTGGTTCCTGTGTAAAAGAAAAAATATGCACAAGTTGCAAAAGATGCCAGCGGCAGTAGTCATGTTATTCTTTTCTTTCTTTGAGGTAAGCCACCCAGCATCAAATATCCTCCATGCCTGCTTTCATTTTTAATCCAACTCATTCTACTCCTTTTTCAATTGCAACATAATATGAACATTTAATAATTTATTTTACAAACAATAATTTAACAAATTTCACTAAAAAATCACAAAAGCAGTATAATAAACCT